TTTCAACAAAACCATTATACCCTGATTTCCCATTTTCAATGGGTTCAGGGTATAAAAATATAACATAACAGCTATGATTTGATTTTTATATAAAAATTGTTCTGTAATTAATATTTTTGATTTTATCATAAAAATCATTTATAATAATTAAATATAATTCATATTTTATTTATCAAAAAATAATTATTATTTTTTAATTTTTTGCTACAAAAATTATAATCGTTACGGTCCCTGGTATATTCACTTTATTAATTAATGCATGATATCCATTTCATTTAAATATGGGAAGCCTTACTCTCTCGATGAGTTTCTTCAATAAAAGATTTACAATTTATAGTATCTGTACAGTTGGCACAATCTATTTGATGATATAACAGAGTGCAAGACAATGGGTGAAGATTTCAAATGAAAATCAAATATCATTGCAAATGCTGTTGGCTTTAGCCGAGGGTCATTTAGAAAGCAATTGATCGATACCCTTTGCGCCAGCCAACTCGAAATTTAGAAGGCAACAACAAATAGCTCAAAAACTACCGTGGGCTACTGTAGACAAAATAGCTACCGGGAAGAGCGTGCGATATTCATTGAACATAACAATGTGCCATTGTTTTTATTAGCAAACATGTTTCTCTGGCCTCAGCTTTGGGTTGGGCCCGGCTCTGAAGATGCAGTTGCATCTTGAAATATTCAAAAAACATTCAGCCTGGACGGTAATGACTAGACTAGATCTGTGTGCGTGTGTGTGAGTGTTAAGTAACATGAACAATTTCTCATCTTTGGTCCTGCACTTACTATTTTCAAGAGCTGGCTAACAATTTTATTATAAAGGCCAGCAAACACTGGCTAAGCTCAAGTCGTTTCGTTTTCTCGTGTCTTCTTCGTGTTGCATAACCCGGCTAATTTTTTTCTGCATTTTTTATTTTTTGTTTTTTATATAAGATTGTTAATACATATTATTTTGCAAGCTTTGAGTGTACTTTGAACTGCGAACCCCATTGCACGCTCTGGCTCTGGCTCTGGCTCTGGCTTGGGCTCTGTCTGATCAATGGACATGGACATATGCATCTGCCTTGTCTGACAAACAAAGCCACAGACAGACTCGAAGACAGGAACGGACGGACAAACTTGCGCAGTGACCCAAAGAAATGGTAATGCGTCGTGGTCGACGTCTTTGGCATGCTGGACGGGTCAGGCGTCTTGGTGACTCTCTGGCAGCTTTGGCAGCTCTAGCCAGCTCTGGCCAGCTTTGCCAGCTTTGGCCAGCACTGGCATTCAGTCATTGAGTCAGTGGGTGCAGAAATCAGACATCTCTGCCGCTTGGGCTATAGTTTTCGTGTGAAGTTTTGTGAGAAGTATACAAATGAATTTCAGGTTTGGGCCAAGGAGTTAGTCACTTTGTCTTCTGTAACTGTTGCCGAATTGTTGTTGTTGTTGGTGGTGGTGCTGCTGCTGAAGCTGCTACAGGTTTGGCAGAAGCATGGCGGAGGCGTCGATGCTATCGCCTTTGAAATCCACGACAACGGAATCGGCTGGCCCAATAGACTCTAGCACAGACCTGCGCGCAGGCCACAAACTTCCTGCAGTACCTTTGATGATGATGATGATGATGCTGTTCATCTGCCCCATTGTTGCCCTAGCTCCGTCTGCCTCTCTCTCGCTCTGGGCACGGGTACTTGTTTAGACTTTCACTATTAATTGTCGATTTTCATCGATGGCTCTGATGCTGCACAAAATGCAATACTTAATGGGCAATGGGTAATGGGGTTGGTATTTATAGTTGAGCAAAAAACCCAATTTCAGTGAGCCTCATATCGAAACTGTATCTATTACTCAATGCACTCGAGTGAGAGACAATTTGATTGATTTATGCAATCGAATCTGCCGACTTATGTTGCATTGTTTTCGTTACAACTCTAATTGCCCGACTCGTCTTCGAGTCATTGCTTTGAGACACGCTTCTATTACATTATGTCCGAAATGGGACAGCGAGGATAAGACTCGCTTGAATATAAAAGTAATACAATATTATATATATTTTGGCCCTCTGAATCTTCAAAAATTATTGCAATTGCCTTTAGACAATCTTTTAAATTTTATAAAGCAATTATTGTTACATTTTATAAAGGATTTCATTATGAAGTGAAACTTAATTATTACAATTATTTATTACAATTTTTGAAATTCAAATTAATCTTTTTGTATGAAACAACAGTAGTATAGGCGGAACAGCTTCATCATGAGAAGCCAATCAGCACCTGTACACACACACGCACATGATATGAGTATGCTGGCTCTGCTATGGGAACTTAATTGTTAAATGAAATTTTAAAAATCTTAAATATATCAAATCTGATCATTACAAGAAATCCAGTAGAAAATTATAGAGCAAGCCCTTAAATTGAAATAATGGTCGGTAATATGGAGGATTAATATTGAATTGGCACAAAACCAGTTTCTTCTCTTTGCCTTAAGGGATCTAAGCTGGGATAGTAATTAACGTTTACCGTTTTACCATAGTAAGCTTCAGCTCATCGGTCTTCCATCGTTAATTAACCGCAGAACAATTTTAGAAATTGTTTTCTGCAATAATTGACTATCGGTAATATAATATTACTAATATTGATTCGTCCTTTTTATTGATGATAATTTTTTATTGTGTCCCGAATAACTAGACACTATCGCTTTATTTATCTGTGTGCACCACGGACTATTCTTTCTATATTGCTTTTTATGTTTTAATTATATTAAACATTATTATATATTTTAAATAAATAAACAAGCTCGAGCTGAGCACAGAAATAAATATTTAAAATCCCAAGTAACTAGTATTTATCCACTATATCGCCGCGATCGACATCGTCATATATGTATGTACAATATATATTGAATGCTGTTTACCACGCTTAAAGGATTTATAATCTCTATGGGGTCTATTGGCAAATTCATTATACCCTGAATTCAGATTTTCGATGGTTAGGTCCAAAATGAAGTTTGAAGAGAGAGATATATACGGGCTTGGGTACAAAAAGTCGCAGTTTAAATAAAATGTATGTTAAAGAAATTTGTCGCAACAGTCCATAAAATATTTTTGTGCCACATTAAATGAAAAAGCAACGAATCGGAGGCTGCATCAAAGTCGACTGCGGCACTGGCAGCGACAACGCGAACGGCGTCATCGTTGTTTAATCGCTGCAAAAATGATCGAAGGTCATCTTGGACATTTCAGTCAGAGCCACAACCGGACACGGAGACGGAGACGGAGACAGAGCCGGCCATTTGAGTACATCGGACTCACTTTATAAGCGTGTGAGCGCATCTCAACCAGTTGTTCCATTCCCTCTCGCTATCGCTTCCCTCCCCCCCTCCTCCACCCTTTCTCTGTCTGCCTCTCTCAGCAGATTGACCAATATATTTGCCACTTGCCAGCTTGCTGAGAAGAGGCTACTGCATTGGTCATCGTCAGCTGAGACTGAGACTTCAAGCTGCTCAACATCGCGAACTATGCAAAAGCGGATTCATAAAAATCAACTGCAGCCCGCGTTTGGATTGCGATTTGTGTTTGTTCCGAAATTTGCATGAAATTCTAATAAAAGATTTACCGTTTAGCTGCCTAGCTGCTTAGCTGGTTATCCGGCTGGCTGGTTGGCTGGTTGGCTGGTTAGCCGAGGTGCTGGTGAGCTGGTTAGTTGTTAGGTGTTAGCCAGGCAGATGCAGCATCTAGAAACTGGTTTAATTGAAATTGGAGTGTTATATCATTTGAGCATAT